GAGATCTAGTTTAATTTGCTTGCTCTTATTGGTGTTGGCATTTCAGAAGTTGAATCTGCAGCCCAGCCTTCATTATCATCCACCATCACCCACCATCATTGCCACCAATACCACCATCATCACCCCCACCAATACCATAACCATCGTTATCACCACCATCATCACAAACGCAACCATCATCACCATGCCATCATCACCACAGTGAAAATACCGTGGTGATGATGTCATGAAAATGGTGATGATGGTTGTGTTTGTGATGATGATCATCATCAACCATCATTACCACCATCATCACAAACACCACCATCATCACCATTATTATGACATCATCACCACAATATTCTGACCATCATCACACCACCAATACCATAACCATCATCACAAACACCACCATCATCACTATTATTATGACATCATCACCACAGTATTTTGACCATCATCACACCACCAATACCATAACCATCATCACAAACACCACCATCATCACTATTATTATGACATCATCACCACAGTATTTTGACCATCATCACACCACCAATACCATAACCATCATCACAAACACCACCATCATCACTATTATTATGACATCATCACCACAGTATTTTGACCATCATCACACCACCAATACCATAACCATCATCACAAACACCACCATCATCACTATTATTATGACATCATCACCACAGTATTTTGACCATCATCACACCACCAATACCATAACCATCATCACAAACACCACCATCATCACTATTATTATGACATCATCACCACAGTATTTTGACCATCATCACACCACCAATACCATAACCATCATCACAAACACCACCATCATCACTATTATTATGACATCATCACCACAGTATTTTGACCATCATCACACCACCAATACCATAACCATCATCACAAACACCACCATCATCACTATTATTATGACATCATCACCACAGTATTTTGACCATCATCACACCACCAATACCATAACCATCATCACAAACACCACCATCATCACTATTATTATGACATCATCACCACAGTATTTTGACCATCATCACACCACCAATACCATAACCATCATCACAAACACCACCATCATCACTATTATTATGACATCATCACCACAGTATTTTGACCATCATCACACCACCAATACCATAACCATCATCACAAACACCACCATCATCACCAATATCATGACTTCATCACCACGATATTTTCACCATCATCATCACTACCATTATCATCATCACTACCATCACCATCATCACCATTCTTTCACAAATCACCAATATCGTGTATCTTTGCTCGCAGGAAGAAACACTAAAACGTGGCTACACCATGGAGAAATTCCCCAGAGATCGTTTGGTATTCAAAGAAAAAATCGGAGACGGCCAATTCGGGGAAGTGCATATAGCAGAGGCTGATATACGAGATCTAAATGCACAATTTGGTGAAGAATACACAGGCAAAACCAAAATAACAGTCGCAGTTAAAACCCTAAAGGGGGACGTACAGAAAGATGCCAAGACTGACTTCTTTAAAGAGGTTCGAGTCATGTCAAGATTACAGCATGAGAACGTGGTTAGACTCTTGGGCGTTTGTCGAGATGATCCCATTTGCATGATAGTCGAGTATATGGAAAATGGAGATCTGAATCAGTTCCTTAAAGGTCACGTGTTAGAAGACGACCATGACGTGATGATATACGCGAACACGAAACAGCCAATCAGCTACGAGGAGCTGATTTACATTGCGTCACAGGTTGCAGCCGGGATGAAGTATTTTGCTGCAATGAATTTTGTCCATCGTGATCTGGCTGCACGAAATTGTCTGGTGGGCGAGGGATTAACTGTGAAACTGGCGGACTTTGGTATGTCACGTCTGTTGTATTCGAAGCATTATTATCGTGTGCAAGGTCGTGTCATGTTGCCCATACGATGGATGGCACCAGAGAGCATATTTCAAGGTATGAAGAATGAGTATTTCTTAAAATGGTATTATGAGGTATGGTATGGTATGCTGTGGTATGGCATGTTATGGTATGGCATGGTATGGTATGGTATGGTATGCTGTTGTATTGTATTGTGTAGTGTGGTATGGGGTTATTGAAAGACCTCTAGGGAGAAAAGATAGAACTGATAAAGCTATCCTTTATAAATTAAGTTAAGTTTAGTCATTGAGACCATTACTTTTACCATCCCTAGGTCGTTTCACAACACAAACAGATGTGTGGTCATTCGGTATAACGTTATGGGAAATCTTCACTTTGGCTCGAGACTTTCCTTATCCAAACCTGGCCGACGAGCAAGTCATTGGCAACGCCAAGACCGCTTTCACTAAAGGTGGCACTGGAGTGATTTACAATGACAAACCAGACGTGTGTCCTCAAGACGTGTTTGATATGATGTTATCATGTTGGAGCAGTGATCCTGTAGAGCGGCCTGATTTCAATACGTTGTATGATTTCCTCATGAGTAAGGTAGGATCTGTACAGTCAGTTGTTGTGTGAGATGGTAAAATAGGGTGACTGTAGGGTAACTGTAGGGTAAAATTTTGGATAACACTATAGTTGTGGTATAGTACTGTAATAGTAGTGCAATGCTGTAGTATATAGTTTATAGTATATTGTATGTAGTGCTTTTGTTCAAAAATGGTTATGCAAGCATAAAAAATTTAGCTTGAAACTATACTGCAATACTGTAGTATATAGTTTATAGTATATTGTGTGTAGTGCTTTTGTTCAAAAATGCTTATGCAAGCATAAATAATTTAACTTCAAACTATACCACAATACTGTGGTATATAGTTTATAGTCATACTGCAGTGCTTTTGTTTAAAAATGGTTATGCAAGCATAAAAAATTTAACTTGTAATTATAGGATTTGAAAATTGCCAATTTTTATGTTATGAAGTATCACGAAGCTTTGACTTCATAAACTTATGAATAATTTACTTGGCTAGTGCCTCGTTTTCAACACACTTTTCAAAATTTTAAACCACCATAATAAAATACCCTTTAAGATATGTTAAAAGGTGTATCGTTTCCATACATTAATATCAAATACTTTAACAAACGAATTTTCTGCGTAACCATTTTAAACTGCATAATGTTTGGGTATATATGCTCGTATAATTACAAATACGGCAAAAGTTGTGAGCGCAAAAGACACTAATTGTGGTTTGTTGAACAACTGTAATTGATGTACTGTTTTTGCCGCTATTATAAAATTGTGGCAGTTTTTTCGGTGATATAGGCCAATGCCCCATTTTTGGCGGTTTTTGCACTATAGGATGTAACTTGTTGTGTTAATTGAAAAAGTTGGACAAGAAATAAATATACCTGGTATCCGATGAGTATTATAGAAAAAAAATAGTTAAACTACACCGCAAGTATACTGCTTGAACATGCAATGCATGTTTGCAAAACCTTTACAGAAGAATTTAGTAATGCACAAGTATTCGCATTTTTGTAAACTTTTAATTGTATTGCTTATATAGAAATAGTTTTAAAATGTACATGAACTTTGGTAAATCTGGGGGATAGTTTTATGTGGATGCATGTTAAGGCATTAACAAACCTTGAACGAATATAGTACCAACTAGCAAATCCCAGTATTTATTATAAGTCTAAGTAATGTTTTGTAAATGTAAATGTAAAGTGCTAAGTCGGGATGGTTTTATGTATATGTAGATTATTGTTGGGCTTAGTAGTCTACAATGAATAATATCAACATAATAGAATCTAAGTAATATTTTGTAAATTTAATGTTTCGTCTAATTTAGTGCCAATAAATAAGATTTATTTGCAGTTCTATTGTCGTCTTATTACCTCCGCCAGGAGGTTATGTAATCATCTGGGTTTGTATGTGTGTGTGTGTTTGTGTGTATGTGTTTGTGTGTATGTGTGTGTGTGTATGTGTGTGTATGTGTGTGTGTTTGTCTGTGAGCACGATAACTCAAGAAATACCAAACATATCCGTACGAAATTTTTTGAATGCATTTCCCATCGGCTAAGGAAGAACTGATTAAAATTTGGTTTAATTTGGTTAAAAATGGAACGAGAAATGAACAAAATTTTGTCTTGCTTTTCCCGGTCAATTAACAAAATATATTACTGAATGCGTAATTAGGACGTGTATAATTTATGCACTCAGTGCTAAGACAGTAATGAGATGATACACCTCATTAAGCTTCGGCCTTCATTATCTATTGTCTTAGTTGCATTTCACGCGACCGAAATTCAATGTCTAAAACAAGGCTTACGGAGTTACGCATTATTACGTTCAGCAAAGTGCCAGTCCATTCAAATTCTAACAACATTTAACAACATTAGATTACTTCAATACAGGGTGTATAAAAAGAACGCAACCTCGGAATTTCCCAAGAAATCGACATTGTTTTAAAGACAAAAGATTTTAGCTGCCTGGGAATTTAAAATAGCACAACTGTGAAAATTACTGCACGCGCGAGTGCATAAAGCAAAATTTGTGCATTTATTTAATGACACTTAAAAACTTTTTATTTTACAAGTACTGTACAGGGTGTCTCAAAAAAAACCAAAATCATTGAAATAACGTATTGTTCGAATTTCAATGCCGTAACACAAAGGATTTTGACAGGGTGATTAATTTGTTTTAAAAAATTAAAATATCTTTGTAAAGTGAACGTTTGTTTGCTCATGGGAATTTAAAAATGCTTCGTAAATTCGTAGGTTTAGTACTTTATGCCTGACATAACAAGTTTACGCTGAGTATTACCATTCATTATAGCAGTTATGTCAATCTTTTATGCACTCGTGGGATTAACTTAGTGCTAGGGCATTGAATATCGAACAATACGTCAATTTCAATGATTTTGGGTTTTTTTGAGACACCCTGTACAGTACAACAACAGTAATATGTTCTATTAGCAATTCGATTTCAATTCGCGGGGGCCTGAAATCTTTTATGCTTAAGAATTATAAAGTGGATTTCTTAGGAAATTCCAAGGTTGCGTTTCACTTCCGAGTAACGGGCGGAGGTATGCAGTCTCTGAGTGCCCTCTAGTTTTTCTATTTATTTACATATTGCAACGGAACGCGGTGGCATTAATTAGGGGTGGGGTCCAATATTGTGTATTAGGTAGTATTATAGGTAGAAAGTACAAATGCCCATTGAGCTGTCTTGATTTGAATCTGAAGTCTCAACTACCTACTGTACGGCTTCTCGTCTCGTGACGCTCAAAGCGTGTGTTTTTACCGAATCTTGTTCGAATCAACTAACAGCTTATTAATTACACATAAGAAGTATAGCAAGGAATCAATCTCATCATTTTTCAATAACATGGTCCGAAATAAGCCAAAAGTAGACACTGGACAAACACTCTATACAATCTCCCGTGCAACTTCGCATGACATTTTCATCTCACTGCAAACAAAGAACGATCAGAAAGACAAACAACATGGTTTTTGTGGACCCAACAGAACAATACGTTCCATATAACATTTGCTTATATATTAGCATCACCAAGCCACTGTCTAAGCCTCGAAAAAGTTTTACGCCTGTATTCTAAAAGCTAACTCACATTCAAACTCAAAGAGTGGAAGTTCAATCTGAGCTTCCCTTTAGTGTCAGTGCAGTTTTTGAATAGCTGAAGGGTTAGTGTCGTACCTCACTATGTGACTACTCACCCTCCAGATATTCAAAAACAGCATTGAGACTCAAGGGAAGTTCAAATTGAACCTCCACTCTTTGAGTGTGAGTGTGAGTGTGAGTGTGAGCGTGAGTTACCTTTTCATAGAATACAAGCGTTAGACTTGTTCGGAACAGCACTGAAATTTGCACGGTTTCATTTTGCGCGGGACGCATGACTTGAGTTGTACTGTGACTGTAAATCCATGAATGGCCGGGCCAGCAAATATATGTATTCACTTAAAAATGCGTTAACAAACGCTTGAAAATGAGTGTAAAGTTCGTCTGACTTTGCTATCAAACGATTTGTTGTGTTGCTCATTCATGTAAATCACACAACTCGCCCACACGACAATGCAGGCAAGTTGTGAGCTTGATTTCCACAGTACAACTCAAGTTGTAAGCAGGTTGCATGCGACAGTTTTCGGCAAAAGTTGTGTAGTGCGAATCGACCTTAAGCACGCAGTTTTTACGTTCGTCGTGTGTGAAAATCCGACCCGAAATCAACCCGTGGACAGACGGTTATTTCGGTTTGAAATAATTACCGCGCTTGTGTGAATTAATTAGCAGGACGTGCGCCCCGTCATAATAGGACGACGTCATAATTAGATTCAAAAGCCACGAGCCGGACGAACGTATCGCACATAGCTACGGAGTGAATCGCCTCACATATATAAACAAAGATGAGCGATACTAGTTCGGATTCTTTGGAAGACTGCCCTGAAGGCAGAAATCAAGACACTAATGGCATAGACCAAGGCACTTCAAGCAATGGACACAGCTCGAACGATCTACATTTAACCACGTGTGTGAATTGCAACACTTCTTACGCGGCGGGTGAGAGAACATGGCTAAATCGGAAAGCTTGGGCCTTAGAGAAAAAACTTGCACTAATGGCCGGCAAAGCGGCGTTTGACTTGGAGGCGTTTATATTTAAACATGTCTTACCGGCCAAAGTTATCAGACCTTTCATATTCCCTCGAACAATTGACGAAATGGCAAGTTATATTGAGAATTGCTCTACGGACGCCGAGAGAGAAGACATGCGCTCTTCACGTGCAAAATGGGATGAGTTACGTACTGAGATTAACTGGACTGTGGTCCATGAACAAGTGCTAACCAGCGCCAAGCAGAGTTACTTGATGATAAAACCTCCTTCGGACATGGTGAAGGAGATTAATGCTACAAAGCGAAGCACGAATGATTTGATACGAGCGTTCAGAACTGCCCTTCCTGTTCATCTTAGACCCGCTGGGGATGAAATTGTTGAAATTATGTTGAAATTAAATTTAGTGTGATGAAAATATATTATATATACAGATTGTAGAGTGTTCCCTAAAAATGCAGTTGCTGGCTACATTAATGTGTGATCAACGATTAATATAATGCTTTATTTAATGTAGTCGTATTTATTTATATCGAAGTAGTGTCATTGAGTGTGCTGGGCATATTTGCATGTTAGACAAACTCTTGCAAAATACTTAATAAAAGCTGTCTTTGTTTGCGTGTAAAACAAATGAGAAAATAATATATTATTATAATATATTAAAAGAACAGAGTGTTTTCTAATCGACTATTATTCTGCCGTGGTTTGTGTCTGAACTACCTGAAAACGTTATCTCAGATGTGGTTGTCCAGTGTAGGTAGTATTCTACAATAAGCTGCCGTGGTTTGATGTCTGAACTACCTGAAAAAGATATCTCAAATGTGGTGGTCCAGTGTAGGTAGTATTCTACAATAAGCTGCCGTGGTTTGTGTCTGTATGTAAGTAAAATGTAGTTAGTCATGTCATTACGCGAAAATGCGTGGTCTGTTGCAATTGTCATGGGTGATTTGTACGGCAAACCGCAATAACAAGAAACGTGATTAGGAATAGACCGCTACCTATTGTGAGGAGCGTGTGTTTGAACTTGGAAGCGTGCTAATGTTTTAATTGGACCGCAAGAGAATCGCTCTCGGTTGCCGTGGTGATGCTGTCGTGACAACGGTCACGTCAGCTGTCATAGAATTCCGAGTCTGGACAATTTTATCTTGGACAAATATTAAAATAAAAGTTATTTGCTACTCAAACGCGAGGGATTCGGTGTGGGCGTTCTTGAACGGTCTTGTGTAGGTAGTGACAAGGAGATTTTTTGAGCGAAGGCGCTTTGTTGTGAAGTTAGCGGGGCTCGGGAATATTACATGAGCTTTTATCTGCCACGGTTTGTGTCCTGAGGTCTGAGCAACGTGAAAAGATTGAAAAACACTTGGGCTACGCTGCTTTCGTCATTCGAAACGTCGAACGAATTTTTTTCAGCCAGTTCAGACACAAGCCACGACATTTTTCAATATTGCATTTAATGGGTATAAAAATGAATCAAACAACACTAAAGTATTTCTGATTGCAATTTCGGCATTTTAAGCGCAAATCCTATAAACACACCTTGGAATGCTCATAATCAATTTATGACGTCAACAGCAAATAATTAACATACCAATTAGAACTAAACGCCTAAATATTTTAATACTAGACAAGGCAGATAATATTTCCGATTATTTGAGCGTGTTTGAGGACAACTCGGCGTCGCAAAAATGAACGTAAAGACCTCGTCGCTGATGACTCCCGACCCATATCACATACCGGGGTAAGTCTTTATGTCTTCTCGTGTTGGCGTGCTTTCTATCATAGAAATTAACTATAATGATCACAATTTATCTTGTTGCCTGGTTAGGCGCTTAATCTGTAAACAAAGCGCATCGCTAGACAACCTACATTGAGTTCAACCCCAAGACGCTTAGAGAATTGTGCTAAAATCATGCTATCATGCGATAGACTATGGTTTAGAATAGTATTTCACTATTTCATTTTTAGCTTTTTAATATACCACTACGAGAATAAACTACATTCAGGATTAATGCTGCTTATATAAAACCACGAGTAAACATGAGTTCTGGTTTCAGATAAAAATTGCTATGCAGTCGTCCAGATCATGATCTAAGGCTTCGTTCATTCGGGACTAAACGATTTCAGAACTGCGCAAATGCGCCTGGTTTCATACGCGCCTCTACGGGGTTCACGACATCTTGGCCAAGTGGGGCAATACCATGACCCTAGGGACAAGTACGAGACAATACTTTTACCAATGTGTTTGCTAACGCTAGATGATTTTACTGAGTCCAATCCCAGACTATTTTAGTCTGTCTTACGCCAGATGATTTCATTCCGTCTAAGACGACAACGTAGATGATGATCCATGAATGGGCACAAGCTTTCGTGTCCCGTTCAAGAGAATCTGATACGTTTGAAGCTATACAGAAAACGAGATCGTAAGACACTTTTCTTCAGGTGGGTGGTCTGTCCTCCCTAGGTGTCCAGTAAGGATTATCTCTTGTTGATCCAATGTTACTGTACTACAGGAGGAAACTGGAGTTTCTGGAGAAAAAGTGCGGTGTTTGCCGTTTAGTCGAGTCAAACTGCGAGTTGAAGCTGGAAGCACGGAGCACCGCTGTTTCCGGGGTGGTTGTAACGAAGCCAGACAGCGCTATCCGCCAGATAATGACTTTTTTAAGCCTTTTTTTTCATTGTCCGTTGATTGGTATAACCCAGATTAAACTCGAGTATTTATAAATTGAAGGTTTTTTATGAATTGCAAGGTCTTTATCCGTGGTTTCACAGCTTTTCATGCATTCCTGGAATGGTTATCGTTATCCGGCGCAATCGGCTATCTGGCCTCGTACATGCAGCCGGCCCCTCGATCAGACAACTTGCAGAAATGCAACTTCAGTCACGTGAAAGACACGTGTACGACAGTGCCACATACACACGTAAAAATCTCGCATCTTGTAGCAAGTCTGGCAACAAACCGTTGTGTTCGCACTGCTTGTCCCAAGTTGTCAACAAGTTTGGAACAAGCTTTTAACAACTTGTAACAACCTTGTTGATATTATCAGATTTTTTGCAAGATTGTTCTAACAAGTCCGATACAGTCATGATATAACAATATTGTTACAACCTTGTGTCGTCAACCTTGTAACATTCTTGTTATATCAGCCTTGTAACAAGTCTGATAGTGCCATCAAGCTTGTTACAAGTTGTTAACAGCTTGTTCCAAACTTGTTACAACAACTGGGAACACGCAGTGCGAAGACAACTTGTTGACAGCTTGTGAACAGATTTGTAACAACTTGTTTGCAGACCTATAACGACTTGCGCGTTTTTACGTGTGTACAAACGCGCAAGTTGTAACAAACCTGCAGCAGACTAAGCTAGCTTGTAGCAACGCTGTTCCAACAACTTGTCAACAGGATGTGTTCGCACTGCTTGTTCCCAGCTTGTTGATAACTTGCTACAAGGTTGTTGGGCTCAACAGACTTGCAATTCAGCAATTTGTCAACAAGTTGTGAGTGACAACCTTGTAGCAACTGGATAAAATAACAACATTGTTACAACTTGTTGACAAGCTTGTTATAAGCCTGTTGCGAACACATCTTGTTGACAAGTTGTGAGATTTTTACGTGTGTACGAGAACGTAGACTGCGAGCAATCCCTCTATTTTCCTTCGTTTTATTGTTTCCCGGACTAAGACTGAACGCGCGGGAGTCCGGGAAACAATAAAACGAAGGGAAATAGAGGGATTGCTCGCAGTCTAACGAGAACGTAAAACAATGCATCTCTTTCTAAACATTTCTTCTCAACCTTGTGTTTCAGATACATAGGCTACTGTCCGCAATTCAAATACCAAATTGGCGAGACGTTTGGCAGGACGACCTCCCAGCTTCTCACGGACTCCCGAATCGCCAGTTCGGGACGACCAGTGTTGTCACCGCTCAACCCAAACCCACCAGCCCCGGATCAGAGACGACAGTTGATATCAAGACGAGCTTTAAAACTTGGAGATCAGAAACTGTTTGAGAAAATGGTCCCTGGTTATACAGGTACGAAATTAGTGAGTGTAGTCTGTACAAGTTTGTGTTTTTAAGTATTGCCTCCCGATGTTGATTCTGTGACCGCTGGCGAGCATCGCAGACGTCTTAGGACAAATGAAAACCGCCTATCGTAATTCATCCGCCACTGTCACAGACAAGTCTTCCCGGAGGTCAAACAACTGAAACAAGGGCTATCTCTTATTGATCGATCTAGGGTTACTACAGGAGGAAACCTTTACTAAACTAACTATATTTGTAGAGGTCAAGGAGGGCCATTTCTTACTGATTTGGTGTTACTACAAGTGGAAACCTAAACTAAACTAATACAGGAAGAAACTTAAACTAAACTAACTGTATTTGTAGAGGTCAAGCAATGTCCATTTCCTATTGATCTAGTGTTACTGGAAACCGGCTTGGTAGAGTCAAATCACGGTGCTATATCAACACTCTAACAAACAAAATCCATTTTTAGGCTTCATCCCTAAAAGTGAACATCACTTCGGCAAACGGTATGCGGAGACAAGTCTCAGTGCAGTGGCAAACTTCGAAACAGACCAGGAGTTCAATAGACGTCGCTTACAGGACCTCCAGACCGTGCAAGCCCTGCAATCAGGCCAGGTGGTCCCAAGTGAGCAACTGAATGAAAGAACGATCAAATTAACACAACACGAAACGCCTCTTAAGAAGACAAGAGAGCACCCGGCTGTGTATTATTCTAGGAAGTCTCCTCAACATTCCCTCTCGCCACTCACAATGGGAAATGAAAACTCTAAGAAATATTTCATGTCTGGGTATACTGGCTTTGTCCCTCGGGCCAGAGGTAAGTGGTGAAGGATTTATTGAGGCTTAAAATCAACGGCGGCTTCCAGTGTAGGTATAGCGAAGATTAAAAACTGCGAACGTTTTGTGTATGCAACGTTTCCAGTCTCTACTGAAGATGAAATTTAAGGACTTCCAGGACTTTCAAGGATGTTTTTCAGCATGATCCTTGCAAATGGCATGAATTTTGCTTTTTGAGACACGACTATGTATTCAAAACCAATAATCTCTATTAAGTAACGTTCGATCGAGTGTTATCAGCACAGCTGGAAATTCAAGGAACTGCACTAATTTTCAACGACTTTTCAGGCCTGGATTTATTTTTTTCAAATTCAAAGACTTTCCAGGATTTTCAAGGCCCGCGTGGACACCCTGTGTATGATACAACGTCTTGAAAAATACGTTTCGAGCGAAGGCCCTTCGTCTGCTACAAACTTTGGTTATCAACCTCCAGTTCCAGACAAAGGGTCTTCACTCAATACGGCGAACCTTTTTTGTATTTTTTAGGTAGTTGTATCCAGGCATCTTTAAAGCGCGCGAGCACCTTTTGAAGTTGTGCAGGCACACTATCAAAGTTTCTGTGATTACAGTCGAAATTTTGCATGGGTAAATTCTAAGTTTTGAAGGATTTGTAAGAAGTGTTCGTGCTAATGACTTAATGTTAAACACTGAGTCAGTTCCCTCAAACATTTCTTACAAATCCTTCAAAACATAGAATTTACCGATTCAAAATTCCTACTGTGATCACAGAAACTTTGACGGTGTAAACCTGTCTTAATTAACAATATTCAGGCTTCCAAATGATGCAGTTTTTGCAGGCACATTACGATGTTATGAATTTTGCTTGCAGCATCATTGAGGCCTAACCAAGAAGGTGTACAGAAGGGTAACAAGAATGGTTGGACTTAATGATTTTGGTAATAATTACAAATTTTTTCTGCGTGTTTATCCAGGGCTCATCGGTAGTGGGTATCCAAAGATCAGTAACAAAGGTTTATGTGACTTCACGGATGAATGCGAAAGATTGAAAGAAGTTAAATCCAAACCTGTCAAGGTACATCGTCAGATTGTGAGGAAGTTTGAGAGTAAGCCGTTGTATCTCAAAGACAATGGCATGGTGCCACATTATACTGGACATGTACCAGGTAAGATGCGTTTAGGCTAAGTGGTTTATTCTGCATAGCTCGACGAGCACCGATGTAGTTCTAAACTGTTCTTCTTGGAAGTTCATATTAGATACCACTCCTTATTGTTCCAGTGTTACTACTGGAGGGAACAAGTAAACTGCCTAAACTCTTCCCCCCAGAGTCCTCCAGGATCAAGTCCAAACTATAACCTAACTTTATTTATACTGGATATAGATCTAGCAGTCCTAGACTTTTCTTCCTAGGTGTCAAGTAATTATTGATCCAGTGTTACCACAGGAAAAACCTAAACTAAACTAACTTTAGTTATCCTGGATAGCTCTATCAGTTCTAAACTGTTCTTTCTAGAGGTCCAGTAAGGATCATCTCTTATTGATCCAGTGTTACTACAGGAGGAAACCTAAACTAACTTTATTTATTCTGGACAGCTCTATCAGTTCTAAACTATTCTTCATAGAGATCCAGTAAGAATCATCTCTTATTGATTCAGTGTCACTACAGGAGGAAACCTAAACTAAACTAACTTTATTTATACTGGATAGCTCTATCAGTTCTAAACTGTTCTTCCTAGAGGTCCAGTAAGGATCATCTCTTATTGATCCATTGTAACTACAGGAGGAAACCTAAACTAAACTAACTTTATTTATACTGGATAGCTCTATCAGTTCTAAACTGTTCTTCCTAGAGGTCCAGTAAGGATCATCTCTTATTGATCCATTGTAACTACAGGAGGAAACCTAAACTAAACTAACTTTATTTATACTGGATAGCTCTATCAGTTCTAAACTGTTCTTCCTAGAGGTCCAGTAAGGATCATCTCTTATTGATCCATTGTTACTACAGGAGGAAACCTAAACTAAACTAACTTTATTTATACTGGATAGCTCTATCAGTTCTAAACTGTTCTTCCTAGAGGTCCAGTGAGGATCATCTCTTATTGATCCAGTGTTACTACAGGAGGTAACCTAAACTAAACTAACTTTATTTATACTGGATAGCTCTATCAGTTCTAAACTGTTCTTCCTAGAGGTCCAGTAAGAATCATCTCTTATTGATTCAGTGTCACTACAGGAGGAAACCTAAACTAAACTAACTTTATTTATACTGGATAGCTCTATCAGTTCTAAACTGTTCTTCCTAGAGGTCCAGTAAGGATCATCTCTTATTGATCCAGTGTTACCACAGAAGGAAACGGGAGTACCTGGAGAAACCTGTGGTGTTTGGTAGAATCAAACTGGACGTAATCTTCTTGCATGCAACTGAGATGAAATTAGAACTAGACGATTGAGTATTTCAGAAATCGAACCCAGTTCACACTTACAGAGGTGCCATGCACTGTGTCATCAACACGTGCATAACTGCAACTGACATTCACATAATTTTCTTACAGGTGAAAAGTTTAGATATGGTCGAACATTTGGTTTTAGTACGAAGAATGCCCGACAACCAATTGAGACATTTTAAAAAGAAAGCAAAAGTTTGGAAGATATGTATAAAGTAAAGTCAGTATTATTTCAAGATTCATATTATGCGCATTATATCACATATATAATTACAATTTAGAACTCACTAAATTTTTTTCAAAGTTAATAAACTTTAACTACACGTTATAAGTCTGCAGTTCGTAAATATGTTTTCTCAAGCTAGGAACTAAGCCGAAACCCAACCTCGTTCCCAGGATCTAAGAAAGAGACCGAGGTTGGCCGAAACCGACCGTTATCTTGGGGCGAGGGAATTCATTCCGCGCGGCCACTCACGTCCATATAATGAAACTTGTTTACTAGACAGTGCAAACCATTGTTCACTGAAAATGAGGCCATTGTGCATTGCTTACAGGGAAAATGTCTGTATTTCGTTTTGCAACGTTTTCAAACTTTGAAAATAACAGATACTGTAACTAGATATTAGAAATAACATAAATTAAATTTAGTTTGAATAATATTTCTCACCCATATATATTGCAGTTATTGTTGCGGTAAGGTGCCTACCACAGAAAATAGGAACATTTTTACTTCACCATGTAGAAGTTTTTTACTAAAACATTTTAAACTGCAACATAATATATTCTACTGCTCACCACGCAATGTTATCCAAAATAATTGAATCTTTAGTTTATAATAATTGAACCTTTAGTTTGTTTATACAACTTTTCCAATCATACGGACAATTTCAAGCTATATATTACACGGAATATTTCAATCATCTTGCTCCAACAATGAGAATGCATTGCACACATGAACGTCTTCCTCGCTACCAGTCTGCTCGTGTTCAGATGAATTACTCTCAGCTTCTCTGGTGGCCTCCTCCAATCTCCACTGTTTTAAGTCACTAAATTGCTGTTGTAGTTTTGCGATGTCCTTCGTCTCCGAATGTGCTTTCCAAGTTTCTATGGCAGGAAAAATTATAGTTTAACAAAAAATATTGTAGACAACAGTAATGAAGAATAGGCATTGGGCAGTTTCACGTTTGCGGGAACGACAAACAGCAGAGTCGAATTTTGTTGGCAGAATTTTTGCTTAACTTCTTCGCTTCATCTTCTCGTTCTTATCTCAAAAGAATCATTATACATTCTTAAAATACCTTGTAGCGTAAATTATTTCTTCCCCTGGCGTTTGCCATTTGACGATTGAACGCAAGACTTAAACTCCCAATAAGCTCAACAGAGCTGCAAGGTTGCAATCTTCAGAGCAAGGCACCTTTCACTTCTGAGATCGTGGGTTTGATTCTTGCTGCGTACTCATGACACTTATGTGAAAAGCGTCGGTCAACGTACGACCGAAAGTAGTTGGTTTTCTCTTGGTACTGCAGTTTCTTCCCACAGGGAATTTTGACAGTATAGTCCGTGATTGGACATGAGTCCTGCCCTTAGAAAGCATTCGACTCGATATGTTGAGCTGCATCCTTCCCAGTTAAGCTAACAAATAGCCCTCAGCTGCAGCAAGTAAGGGTGATTAGCCATAGAGCTTAAAATAGAGCCATTTCATACCTTGTTTTGAAGTGAATTGAGGAGGGTAGAGACACATCACAATCTTTCCATCTGTGGCTAATCTCAAAAGACTGTTGGCTAGAATGTATAAGGAAAAGATGGGAGTCAGGGAGTACATTCACTTCTGCAATAAATTACATCCCTCAGGTCGCTAACTGGCTCATTGCACAAATTGAAGAGGATTGACCTAAACAGCTAACACATGTTTTTGTTTGTGGAAACCCAATTAACATTTTCAAATAACTCACATAATTACCCAATTACCATTGTTCTGATAATGTAAGCATAGAATGGAACAAATGTGTCTAAGTACAGTATTTAAGCGAAAAATGTGAGTGAAATGGTTTTTCAAAGCATAATGGTATAAATTGTTCTAATCATATGTTGGGAGGATGCAGATATCTTTACCTGCTCTGTATGTATCAGGTCTGCCGGCTTTAGCAGTGTGAAAACCTCTTTGTTCCGCCCAAGCTAATAAATTAACATAAAATGCATGTTATTAGCATATATGTAGTTGAACATCATCTGCTGCTTGATATTGCTTGACTTCTTTAAGCACAGTATTGTGCAATAGATGATGGTGATCCTGTAGTTATCTGTTCTTTTCAATATATGAAGTAGCCATGTATATCTTGACAAACAAATACAATTTGCTCCTATCAAGACTAAACCATTACCATCACATATATCCCATGCTGACCACTCTAGATCCTCGGGAACATCCTCGCCATCCTCTTTCGCTTGAGCTACCTTCGGATGTACCAACTTGAGGACTTTTTCCAGGGGGGTGCATGCCGCTAAGTAGCCAACAACAGAGTAAGGCTCTCTGACTTGAGCTATTGGGTATGTCCCGGATAGAATCTGAGGAGGAAGTTAGACTAGATTGAGGTACCACTGTTCTCATAATGTAAGATGGTACATTTACTACCATCATCACAATGACCATCATCACAATCATCCACCATCATCATCACCATCATCACAATCACCATCATCATCAGACATCATCATCACCATCACCACTACCATCATTAACAATGTTAGCCTTTTATATCTATTAGTTTGGTTTTGTGCTACTTAAAATAAAACAAATTCTGCATGGTTTTGTCCAGAATGTTTGGGGTTACCTGCAGCCTTCTGTTAACAAGAGATGGGAACACAAGACCAGGGGAGTCACATAGTCGTACAGATGGCGTTAGAAATATAGTTTGAAAATGTTTGGTATGACCTGGCGTCCTTGAACAGCTCACAACCTGTAAAATATACATACAGAATATCTCAAGCAATAGTATCTAGGTAATATTTTACAGGCTTTATAAGCAGTGAAAGCTAATAGTCTATTGTAGTGTATTTTTAATATCTTTTTCTGGTACTTCATACACACTTAAATTACGGACCTTTCTACCAATAAGACCATTAAGTAGCGATGATTTTCCGACATTTGGATGACCTAATGGTGGAAATGGAATTGTTGGTTTACACTAAATACGACAGTGTGAATAGTCTTATTAAATTAAAGCCAGATATTCGTACTTTAGTTTGACAATTAAAATAAAGAAATTTTTCTCTTTGTTCTTTTGAAGAATATTCTTTCCTGTTACTCACCCACAAGTCCAATGGTTAAAATGCCTTCTTTCTTTTCCACTTCTTCAAACATTGAACCATCATCTGCAAAGAAACACCACAGAACTGTGGTAGACATAGAAGACACTGATAGATTACTGGTGTATCTCCATTATTTGTAATACCTTCGTTCTCATCAGATGATAAGGTCTCTTCATATGTCACTCCTTCATCAGTGTTTTTCTCCTGATCTTCAATATGATGTAACCAATCTTTCAGGTTTACTACATAAAAATTTTAAACTAGTTTTTATAATCCTATTTTATCACCAGAATGTCACCACACCCATCATCACCATCATTACTGGCACCATCATCACTGTCACCATCACTATCATCCATCATCACCATCATTACTGGCACCATCATCACTGTCACCATCACTATCATTACCATCACCAGCATTACCATCACTATCATTACCATTACCATCATTACCATTACCATCATCACCATTACCACCATTACCATTATCATCATTCCCATTATCACCATTACCATCATTACCATTACCATCATTATCACCATTACCATCATTACCATTACCACCATTACCATTATCATTATCATCATTCCCATTATCACCATTACCATCATCACCATTACCATCATCACCATTACCATCATCAACATTACCATCATTACCATTACCATCATTACCATCATTATCATTAACATCATTACCATTAACATCATTACCACCATTACCACCACCATCATTACCATTGCCATCATTACCCATCATTACCATCATCATCAACATTACCATCACCAGCATTTGCCAACATCACCCTAATTACCAACATCACCCTAATTACCAACATCACCCTAATTACCAACATCACCATTACCATGTAATCACAATTACCATGATCATCACAACATTACTGTCATCACCATTGTCACCAACCTTTGCCGTGCATCAGTTTCTCACACACATGATGTAGTTCTCTTGGACCGACTGGAATAAACGATCTCTTCTTTCGTCTCCGTAAACGTTTCTTCACTAAATCACAATGTAAAATATATTATTTGAAAGCAGTAACACTACGCTGCAGTATAAACAAAATATTGCTAACAATGTATGCTTATTTACCATCTGAGTAGATAGTTTAATTCCCATCTGTTGGCCGTGTTTATGCAGAGATTAATTTTGAAACAAAGTATCTTAATCTTTGCCTAAGTTTGTCAGACCAATAACTCAACAGCAAACCTTTAATTTCCATTTGTCTTATTTCTTCGGGATCTTTGGGGAATGAAGTAAAACATATAATATGAAGGTCTGGAAACTTTTTATGAAAATAATCTTTCCAAGCAACCACGACTTCAGGAGGAACTAAATCAATCTAAAATATTCAAATGAAGATAAAATAATTGTCAATTTAAAACAATACAATAACATTTTGTGGTGAGAACTGATCCTGGTTTCACTAAGCACTACAGTATTGTGCAGCAATATAATGTTTACTTATAGTTCTGTTCATTATATGCAGAAGTCTTGTATTTGGTGGCCAATGTATCGAATTGAAGGATTCATATAAGTTTATAAATTTGCTTGCTCTTATAAGCATGAACAGAGACTTTAACTTCACCTTATTTAAAACAAGAATGACATCCTTTTTAAGATCTTCTCTTGCATGGGTGTAAAGTGTTGGTGAAAAATGTATAATCTATAATACAGAATCATTATCAATGTTAAAATTGCTGAAAAATGGAAGTTCTCAATGGTTCAACTGATTGCTGCTTGTATTAAAACAGGGCTCCAGGCATCAGAGCAAGTGCCTTTCACCTCTGGGATCATGGATTCGATAAATAAATATATAAACTGATAATATAAAGCACAATCAATACTTACTGGGTATCGTACATCTGTGATAATGACAACGATGTTGGACACTTCTAAAACACGCCATAATTGTCGCCAAGTCTTGAGTGAGGAAAATTAGTGTGTTAGTCTTTAAGAACAGTTTTAAATTTGACAGGCATGTTTTTTTGTTTCTGTACCTCGAGGTTCATTTCAAAGTAACTGAGCTCTGTGCCAGGGTGTTCATGTTTTATGTCTCTGATGTAGTGTCGAAACATGGATTCTTCGTTCGCTTCAACCTGTCGTTTGTCCATTTTGTAATTCCATTTGGGTCTCTTTGGCATGTCCAACACTTAAAGAGAGGTGGTAGGTAGCTGTGTCGGTTAGATGGTAACTAATGTGACCATGGTGTTCATGATGGTGGTCGTAGTAGCTGTGTCGGTTAGATGGTAACTAATGTGACCATGGTGTTCATGATGGTGGTCGTAGTGATGATGGTGATGATGATGATGATGGTAACTAATGTGACCATGGTGTTCATGATGGTGGTCGTAGTGATGATGGTGATGATGATGATTATGATGGTGGTGATGGTGATGATGGTGATGATTATGATGGTGATGATGATGGTGGTGATGATGATGGATGGTGATGAGGTGATGATAATGGTGATGATGATGATGGTGGGTGGTAATGATGATGGTGATTGTGATGATCACCATCATCACATTAACTACCATACATGGTAGTTGTACCATCATCATCACATTAACTACCATCGTGATGATGGTAGTTAATGTGATGATGATGATGGTACAACTACCATCATCACATTAACTACCATTGTGATGATCACCATCATCATTACCACCATCATCATCATTACCACCATCATCATCATTACCACCATCATCATCATTACCACCATCATCATCATTACCACCATCATCACAATGGTGGTTGTGACGATGGTGGTGGTAATGATGATGAGTGATGAGGTGATGATAATGGTGATGATGATGATGGTGGTAATGATGATGGTGATTGTGATGATCACCATCATCACATTAACTACCATACATGGTAGTTGTACCATCATCATCACATTAACTACGTGATGATGGTAGTTAATGTGATGATGATGATGGTACAACTACCAACATGGTAGTTGTACCATCATCATCACATTAACTACCATCGTGATGATGGTAGTTAATGTGATGATGATGATGGTACAACTACCATCATCATCATCACATTAACTACCATTGTGACGATCACCATCATCATTACCACCATCATCATCATTACCACCACCATCACCATCATCATTACCACCAACTACCATCATCACATTAACTACCATTGTGATGATCACCATCATCATTACCACCATCATCATCATTACCACCATCATCATCATTACCACCATCATCATCATTACCACCATCATCATCATTACCACCATCATCACAATGGTGGTTGTGACGATGGAATGGTGGTTGTGACGATGGTGGTGGTAATGATGATGATGGTGATCGTCACAATGGTAGTTATAATGTGATGATGGTAGTCACGATAATGGTGGTCGTGACGATGGTGGTGGTAATGATGATGGTAGTTGTGGTGATGATGGTAGTCACGATAATGGTGGTCGTGACGATGGTGGTGGTGGTAATGATGATGGTAGTTGTGATGATGATGGTAGCCATGACAATGGTGGTCGTGACTATGGTGGTGATAATGATGATGGTGGTGCTGATGATGGTAGTTGTGACTTGATGGTAGTTGTGACAATGGTGATCGTGACAATGGTGGTGGTATTATGACAATCAAATAGATTACCTGTTCCTGGCTTATAAATATCTTCAATCGTATATTCCAGTTCAAGCTATTTTTTTGAAGAAACGATAGTCATAAAAAATTCAAATTATAAAACAAAAACTGTGCAATTAAATTTAATAGATCAAACCTTTGACAGATAGACAATTGGCCTTCTAGCCTGCTGTTTTCTCTCCTCAATTTCTTCATTGGTTTCAGTTTGGAAAAATAGTTTGTACCTTGATTGGAAAAATGTTTTGAATTTTAAATATACTTAAAGCTTAACTAAATTTATATATCATGAATAGCTCTTAGTTTTAAACTGTTCTTCCTAGAGTTTCAATAACTGAGAGCTGGCCCCGCGGCTATTGGTTCATGCAGTGTTACTATACAGAAAGAAACCAGAAAACACCTGTCTCACATACAACTGATCTTTCTGATGTCAAATTGTAACAGATAACTGCAGAAATTATTGATCCTTGGGATTCAACTACCCTTAAAAAATACAAGTAACTGCAATGTTTTGAGTGCATGAAGGCCCTAACTTCACAATGAAGAAACATCAATGTTTTACTTGTGTTTTTCAGGTAGTTGAACCCCTCAGATCAATTGGCAGTCTCTGGTGTCATTTGTCACTTAATTAAGTCTTCGAGTTTAGTGACATTGTTGAGTTTAGTAACAAGTTACTATACATATTGCTGGAATTGAACCTCTGAGTGTCATGCAGGAATTGAACCTAGCTCTGTCATAGAGATGGAAGGTATAACATATTGCACTATCTACACAACAAACAACAATGTCCCACCTATCTGGGTCGTACTGTTTTCCAGTCAATGTCTGGGCAGTGTCTCGGCGAGGTTTGTGGCTGAGGTGTAGCTTTGCAAGCGACGATGCTAGTGTGGAGTCTTCAGAATCGGAATCACTCGGCTCTTGCAAGACTGTCGACTTTGTGCCGCCATGTTTGAATCTTGTTTCTACATGGAGAGAGGCATGCAAAGAGAAATGTATATGCCTCAAAATCACAGATCTGCATTAAACAATTGCACTATATGGTGGGAAAATTTTGACCTCAGGCAGCAGTCTGATATATTTGATTTGTTAATTAAGCCAATAACATTTAAGTCCCTTTAAAAACCAAAACTATCTGGCATTAGCATATTAGATATATAGAGAATATATGAAATAAATAATAGGTATATTGAAGTAAATTGGGTCAATCATCATTCCAGAATTTAACATACATACCTCATAATTGGAAGATTGCAAGTTATTAAACTCCCCTACCCGCTTCAGAAGCCCTAATACACCTATTATTATCAGAAACAAATTTTCCCTTCCCGACGGGGGGAGTGTGGATAATTTCTGAAACAACTCGATCATTGTGGCTCAACACTTATTAATCAGTTACTTATTAACTTTGGGTAATACTATTAAGCTACTATGTACCCTTCCTTTATTATTTGCCTCTGGCTAATGCCAGGCGATTTTATTTCTCAAAACGAGATTGACTTGCGCATTAATAGTTAATATGCTCAACCTCCCACAACCATTACAGCAGAATTTCTACTACAAAATTTATACCGACCGAATTTTTAAAATTTTTGTAGTTTGAGTATTTACTGTTCTACCTTGCTGCTTATCTGAGTGTTGTCTTTTCTTTTTAAGCTGTTCTTTCTTTTGTTTTACACTGTATGGTTTCTTTCGTGGCATGCTATAGTGAACGTCGAAATGTTTTGATGAAGAAACGACTTTTGGACGATGGTTAATTTATCCAAGATGAAATAAATTATGCATTATACGTTTCTGAAATTTTTAACAATTTTAATGATTTTAAAATAGTAAGAAGTTTTTGTACTTTTAAAACATTCTCACATATGTTCTAAGGTATAATGCAAAACACAGTGTTAGGGAAGAACATTTTAGAAGTCTTCAATGGTATTTTCAGACTGAATAATTTCTCGCAAATTAATATATGGAGAAATTAAATATGCAAATTATGCGTCTTTCGAGGAATGGAAACTATACTTTGAAGTTCTAATTTTCCGAACGACAAAGGTGCGTTCTTCGTGCTCAAAACAATGTTCAAATCTCGGCAAAAATGGACAATTCTTATACAGAAACTGACAACACACCTTCAGAAATACCTAACGTGTTAACGGAGCATTCAATTCAGGATGAAACTGGAGAAAGTGGCGAAAATTTTCACAGTCATTCAGGTATGAAGTTACAGATTCTCTCAAACTCAGAATGTTGGGAAATTGTTAGGAGAATTTCCATGTTATCGCTTTGTCTATCACGACTCTTTTGAGGAAAAATGTCGAAGTTTGTACTGTAATAACCTCTTTATATAAAAGCAAGTGGTTCATTTAAAAACTAAATGGATATATAAACATTGTTTTAAATTGTATTTTATGGCGTTGTTTTTTTAACTGGTGCTACAAGGCTTTTGTGTGGTTTGTTGGGTTTCGTGTTTATTTAAAAGAAAGACAAATACAAGTATCAGACAGGTACATGAATTGATGCTCAAGATGTTTATTGGATTTAATACTATGGGAGATTTCAGACTGAAAACTATCAAAACTATCGTCTGGTGTTATGCATGAGTCAATTCCAGGAGTAACCATCCCCCCCCGGGAACACACCCGGGCATTTGATTTGATTGGTTATGATAGTGTAAATGCCCGGGTGCCGGGACACAACTTGAAGACTAATGCACGGCCCCTGGGCAAGCTGAGAGTGGAAAATGCCCCACCCTGGGGACAATTTTACAGTCAATTTCATGAAACTTTGACCACAAATGTTCAGAACTTTGTTTAGAAGTTCGCAAGTTCGTTGCGAAGTTCGGAAGCTCATATTGGAATTCACAAGCCAATTTGTAAACGGAGTCCCTGATTGGTCTGTGAAGTAAAAGAAGCCAATCAAATGCGTAGTTTATGAACTGGTTTGTGAATCTCATGAACTTTTGAACTTCGCAACGAAGTTCGGAAAGTTTGTGGTCAAAATTTTGTGAAATTGACTGTAAACGTTAATTAAACTTTTAATGACATATAATCATAGTCATTTAATAACATTATAGTATTAAACTGCTATGGAATATTATAAAACATAAACCTTTAATAGTTGTATTTAAATTTGCATGGCACAGGGTATAATTTTCGCTTATTCTTACAATAAATTTCACACCACCTTGACCACGAGGGCGCAAAATACGATCAGCGCGCCCACATTCGTGTCTGAAACTAGGTTTTGCTGCCTTAAAATTTGTGGGTGGGATTTTGGTGAACCATTTGTCAAATCCCGGGGTCCTCCAATACCCGGCCCCCGTGCACATATATGAAAGGCAAATTCCCGACCCCTGTGAACTGTCTATGGGGCAAATTCCCGGGGGGGGATGGTTACTCCAGGAATTGACTCATGCATTAGTCAGAGTAAAACAGAGGCGTAGCCAGGGCTGGGGCCGGGGGGCTTGGCCCCCCCTGGCAAAATTTGGGGGCCCCCTAGCAAAATTTGGGGGGGGGGCTGATAAAATGTATTGTATAAAAAAGGAAATCCTTGATTATATAGCTTCATGCTGTCAATAATGCAATATATGCTTTGATGGGCATCGGTATGAAACCTAAAATCACTTGTTCGCTTATTTGCGGCACACAGCTTGAAACACATACCTTTTATAACCCTACTAAATTATTTCAATATGTATTAAATGAGGGTTAGATGAAGTTTAAACCAATCTGGTTTTTTTTACAAGCGAATTTTTAATGCGGGCTCAGCAGTGCGCCGTGGCCGGGGGGGGAGGGAGACCCGTCGGAAAATTAAGACCCGTCAGAAAATTGTCAATATAGAGTTTGAGCAAGACAACAAAGTACGAAAACGAAGGCGTACTTGCCAATTTTTGCCGGCGATCTGCACATTATCTTGGGCATACTGAGTTGGATGGCACTGGTGGTTGCTCAACGTGTCTTCCCATGTGTCGCTGTTTATGCATACTGACCCTAATTCTTGCCCTGACCCAGAAAAAAACAGCGAGACATGAAACTACATCCTGTCTTTGTCCTTCTGCCTTCGTTCGGAACGAAGTTCACCGCGAATTTTGCCAAAATTTTTGCGAATTTTTCGTTGTGAACGAAGGCAGAAGAACGAAGACGAGATATGGATTTTGTCTTGATCAGGGTAAGGATTTGGGTCAGCATTCATAAACAGCTAGACATAAATCTCTAATCTGTTTTCACGCCTGACCCTAAACTCGGAATGTGTAAGATAATGTGCAAGACAGGCAAAAATTGTCAACCACGGTCCACGTCGTCGTCGTCCGACTTCGTTCTCTTGCTCAAACTCTCTAATGTTAGTCGGAATCTTCATGGTGAAGCATCGGAAAAAGTGATACGGAAATCGGGAAAAGTGCTAAGAAAGCAATTTTTAGCAATTTTCCAGAAAAAATTTTTACTGAAAAAGTTGTCGACGGGGGGAGGGGAAGATTTAAAATGTTCTGTGGTCTGCAAGATTTTTTCTTGCGCGAACTTTGAGTCTCGAGTCACTGGCGGCTTGGCCCCACCTGGGTTTTTCCCGGCCCCCTCTGACCGAAAATCCTGGCTACGCCTCTGGAGTAAAATAATAAAGTAGGGCGCATCTGGGTGCAAAAACATTGAAGTTTCTCGGTAAAAACACTGTACTTTGTCATGATAATAGACAATGTTTTACAGCCAATTGCAGTTGAGCTTGCAGCTTACATTTTAAACACGTTGTGACATCGTTGAAAAGTATGCATAATTCATTCCTCGGAAACACGCTTGCCAAAAGTTCACATTACACCCCTAGTAGCAACGGCGTGTTTCCAAGGAATGAACACATACTTTTCAACGATGCAACAACATGTTAAAATGCAAGATCAACTGCAATTGCCTGTTTCTGCGACGGTATTGTTCATGATATATTTACTGCTATAGTGGTAGTTTTAGCTATAGGTTGCTCGATCTGGGTCCTCCATTATCCCTGCCTTACCAAATACTAGTTCTGTTACCCTTGTTGTCAAATGTACTACACCCTGAGTAATTGACATTAATTAAAATTAAGTAATATGATTTTTTCTGTGTTGGTGTTGTGTACTCAGGTGAATATGATGTTTGTGGTGTTACTCTGAGTGTCCACACCGGGCGAGCTTGAAAAATATGCCCGACCACGGTGGGAATCGAACCTACGACCTTTGGAATACTAGCCCAATGCTCTGCCAACTGAGCTACGCAGTCAGGACGGTTCGAGTAAGTTATATTTCGGAACAGAATCTAGTTCCTTCGATACCAGTGTAATCTTGTAATATGATTTTTTCTGCGTTGGTGTTGTGTATACTCAGGTGAATATGATGTTTGTGGTGTTACTCTGAGTGCATATCCACACCGGGCGAGCTTGAAAAATATGCCCGACCAGGGTGGGAATCGAACCTACGACCTTTGGAATAATAGCCCAATGCTCTGCCAACTGAGCTATGCGGTCAGAGTAATACCACAAACATCATATTCACCTGAGTACACAACACCAACGCAGAAACATCATATTACAAGATTACACTGGTATCGAAGGAACTAGATTCTGTTCCGAAATATAACTTACTCGAACCGTCCTGACCGTGTAGCTCAGTTGGCAGAGCATTGGGCTAGTATTCCAAAGGTCGTAGGTTCGATTCCCACCGTGGTCGGGCATATTTTTCAAGCTCGCCCGGTGTGGATATGCACTCAGAGTAACACCACAAACATAAAATTAAGTAGTTATTTTGTTATTACATCAAAGGTCATGACTCATCAGATCCTGAATCCCAACCTGACATCAACAGTACAGCCCAAAACTCACTCGATGTCCTCAGCAAATTAGCATGCAAAAATATCTCTGAATTGCCTGAACTAAACTCAGATCCTGTAGAAGGCATTAATGAAGGAGAAATTGAAAACGAGACACATCGCCGGGTGTGTGACTTCGCTGATGATGATGGTAGTGACAAGATGAGTAGCGAAGCCATCGCAGCGGAATTCTTTGAAGAATATGTTTGCAATGAAGATGAACAGAGCACAGAACCTAGCCAAGGTAGTTAACCTATATATATCCTCCGTGTTGTTAAACTTTAACTCCAATGAACAACAGTGTACTTATCAAGGGAAAAGTACCATTGGTCTAATGTTACAGTTTATTGACCGATAATCCATTTTTGCCTATCGGTAGACAATAAGAATTGGTAGAATTATCTATATTTCCAAATAATAGTAATATAATAAATGTAATAGCTAGGGCATTAAATGCTTAACCCTTAAGTTGCATTGAATCCTAATGCACCCTACTACTCTGTTATTTTACTCTATCTATACAAGGCCATTTTATGCCGTCTAATGCCAGATGATTTTACTCATCACTTGCGAGAGTGCTTGTCTTTGGGGTACACTAGAGTGTAATGTAGTTCAATGGGTCCTTATGTATCCCTCTTTATTATTTTATTCTGTCAATTGCCAAACCATTTTTTCACCAAGCAGAAATTGTTAATGGGTTAAAGCTTTTAAATTTCAGGACCAAGTGACCAGCATTCAGTTAGAAAAAGTGGTAGAAGCCGTCGACCACGGCAAATTTCACCAGCAGCTAGTGAAAGATCACATGTCACAAAAAGGCCTCGTACAAGTGCACTTCCAAAAACAATTCGAGCAAAGAAGAAAGTGGATGATCCATTCAAATGTGATTTATGTGGATCTCAGCATATAACCGACCCATCACGGCGTGGAAACCGACCAAAGACGTCTGCCCATGCGCCAAGTCCTAGACATAAATTAGATCCCGAGTCTGGAAGGATGCTAACACTTTGTAATGCCTGTGGTATGTGAAAAACATTTTAATCGTATTTTGGTCTGATTTAAAGGGAATCTTTTTTTTCCAAAATTCAAATTTTTACTCAAACTACTCCACATGTTTGCTAAATAGTTGAAAACATTTCTTTTTATCAAAATAATGATTTTGAACTGGCAAAAGCTGCATGGCTGACCACAGGCTGATCTTTTGTAAAATTGTGTATTTTGTATTAATTAAGGTTTGTCGTTTAATCGGCCAAAAGCACCTCGTCACAGAGCAGTGTGTGACCAGGAAGCTAAGAGATCTTACTTGGAAGAGGCTCGTCAGTTTGCTGCTTCACTGGCCGAGGGCTTGGAGGAACCGGATGGTAATTGTCTCTTTATTTGTGTTGAGTAAAAAGTGCTGTTTGTTGTTGTTGTTGTTGTTGTGATTGTTGTTTCTATGTTGTCACTTTTCTTATTGTTTAACCCATTGAGCCACAATGTGCCCCACTGTGCACCCTACTTACTTTTTTACTTGATTAATGTCTAACGCCAGACTTTTTACTTGTCTAACACCAGACGATTTTACTCGACAATGGAGAAGCTCTGTAGCTTAGTGAGTTAACCAAAAAATCTGGCAATGTGTCTAGTTAACCCATTATGGGCCGCAATGTGCCCCAGTGCGCCCTACTTGTTTGTTTTTTTACTTGTCTATATAAATGCCAGACGATTTTACTCGTCAATGGGGAAGCTCTGCAACTTAATGGGTTAATTATTATACTTTTTTGTTGTTGTTGAACATTGTTGATTGTGCTGTACCTGTAGTCATGATCGTTTTTGTGATTGTTGATGATAAAAATGTTGTTTTTATTTTTGTTGTTTTTATTGCAATTGTAATGTAATTAATTTTGCCATTGCAGCTTCGAGATTGTATTGCCCTCAATACAAGACCAGTGCATGTGCCTGCTTACAGAAATACATTATAGCCGAGGGTGAGTAGTCATTGGAGTGTTTGTTAACCAGTATTTAGTGCATGGCTAAAGGAATTATACCAAATGGTTTTCTGTGCAGGATAATATCATGTATCCTTGATGAAACAAAACAACTACTTTAATTATAATTAAAGAATCTTTCACATTAAATCTTTTTAGGAAACATAGATGAATCTCGTCAAAGAGCACAGCAGCTGCTCAGCCTACTCAAACAATCCCAAATTCTTTCCAAAAAGAAATGTTATAATGGTGATGAGACTGAGAACTTGTCAGTTGAGAGAAAAGGGAAAAGGTT